AATGTTAAGGGTCCTTGCTGGAACTTGGATAAAGCGTAGTGAACTGATGGTAGTTCACTCTGTTAGTTTGGGAATCACAGGATAAGGATGGGTGGGGATACGGGCGTGAATACTCAAAGGGGCGTGGGAATTGAGGTCGTAGGATGCAGGATACTGGGATTTCAGTATAGGATTCGAGGCTTGGCTATATGGAGGGATAAGGATGAGACGACAGGATGCCTTTTAGGGATGTGAGAATGAAGGCCTTGAACATTCTCAGTTCCAGAAAAGGTTTCAGGCCAAGGATATTTTGGAAAGGACTGGGACGTTTGGATGTCTTCCGGGATGCGTGAGGATCATAGGCTTGAGGAGTTACAATCGTAGGATGGGATGGGAGGATACGGTGAGGACGTTCTTCAGGATGGGGTGGGTTGGTTATAGCCGAGGATGCAGGGCAGGGGGATGTGAAGGATAAGGACGAAGGACTTGTAGCATGATTGACCTACATATGAAACGTCCAAAATATCTCTTTTGGACGTAGTTATCGTGAGATATTTCCTCAGTAAGAGAAATGCTCAGGGTAATGATATTAGTACTGATGATGCCATAGCTGGGAACAGGGCAGGGAATAGGTCAATAGGATAAAGCTTCCTCCAGCTTCACTTTAGCTATAAAAAACTAACAGGAAGACCAGGTAATGGATATGACGGGTTAGGATGATTTGACCCTGTCCAGGACTTGGAAGATCTGTGAGGACCGGGCATGTCAGCGAGTCTCCTTATCACAAAGGAGGCTGGAGACGAATGGGCATGAGACCGTTAGTAAATGAAGGATCATGGTTGCATGGGACAGGACGGGGGAGGATCTGTAGCCAGGCAAAGGAGCTCAGCTAGCAAAATTGTTAGTCGTCATCCGTTAGACGGGGTGAGCGGCAGGACTCTGGGGTACAGGACTTGGGACGGCAATGATGGGGTAACGATGTGACAGGCCGACGGGGGCAGACGAGGATACGGGGTCTGGGCAAGGATGCTGTTTCTGGCAAAGGGCATGGTTAGTGCGTCGCATTCAAGCACTGGGGAAGGATAACGCAGGATAACACCTGCTGACGACGATATAGGAACATGACGGAACGATAGGATGGGGAGCTCAGGATTTTGTTCATGGGAACCACGCTTTAGTATTGAGCAGTGAAAATAATTTCCTTAGAAGAACTGCGTGGCTTTAAACTCCCATAAACTGGATTAGTTTTCTCTACGGGATATTCACAGTTAATCGGACACGAATGTTATAAGGACGGGGGTGTGAAAGGGGAAGCTAGCATAATGAAATGGGCATTGGAACCTAAGCCTAGAGGAGGAAGAATGACAGCATTATATACAGAAGCGGGGAGAGGGTCACCTATCTAACCGCGGTGAGCTTGGTAGGGATAGGGACGAGGAGGAGGATAGGCGCCGGGAGGAGGAGGGTAGGATCCATGGGGAGGAGGAGGGGGAGGGCCATAGGAATGGGGGCGCTGAGGTGGGAGGGGATGGGGGTGAGCAGGACGAGGAGAAGGAGGAGGAGGAGGAGGAACAGACTTGCTGACAGGAGGGGCGGGCTTGAGGTTCTTGGGTGTGCCTTTGGCTGCTGCTTCCTTGGTGCCCTTATCGTGATGGTGGTGGTCGTGTGCGTGCTTGCCATGCTTGTCGTGCTTGGAGTGTGCGAGATTGGCCAGTTCCTTGGCCGAGTGCACTTCGTAGATGTGATGCTCTGGGTCTTGGCCGTACTCGAAGACCAGACTGTGCGGGTAGATGACTACCTGGTCGTCGTCCAGCTCGGGACGCCGTACAGGTAGATGGGCGTAGATGTCATTGGGGCCTCCGTCTCCTTCGGGTGCCTTCGCCCTGGGGGAGACACGGGGTTGACGAGCTGGAGCCAAGGATGCGGGGTCCAGTGCAAGGACATGTGGATGTGACTGGACACCTTCAACCTTCTACTAATCCTAACATCAAAGTATCTGACAATAATAACTGCTAATTTATATAGTTAAAGTTAAATGTAATACTCATTCTATAAAAACAGACCAAAGTCTCATAGAAATCTGTGTAAATTCAATTTACGAAAGATAGAGAAAAAAATAACACAAAAAAATTAGACAAGCTAGAGGAAAAACTAGAAATTACCTTGAGGACTAATTGTAACCTTACTTTCCTTTACACTCCATCCAAAAACAAACCCATACTTAGCCCGGAAACCTCCTCTTTGTCGGCCACAGTTAGGGTTCCTTCACACAGGCCGTGTTTGTTGGCTCGTCAAAGGGAACCCTCGGAGACCGCAGAAAACCTACGGTATCTCATAGCCAGAAAGTTTAGTGAAGGAAGAAAACTTCGGGTTATTGTCCTTTCGAATTGAGGATGAAAAGACAGGAAAAGGAAGGAAGTCATATTTTGATAACGATAATGATGAAATAAAGGTGAATAAAGATACTTATTACAAGATTCATATTTTCTTTAAACAGTGTCGAAGTTAACCAAACTTTATGAAGAAAAAGCAATCCATTTGTTCTTGCTTTCACAGATGTATTGATAAGAACCTCTGATAAAAATCTTCATGGAATAAACTGAAAGCCCAAGTTGCCTAAAAAAAAATGCTATTCATTCCCTAAAGAATAAAAATGAGGACAGTATAAGGAGAGGATTGGCTGGGTTAGGCTAGGTTGAAGGGATTTGGTTGAGGAAACATTAGGATGAGGTTAGGACATTTACAGGGATAACTCTTGAAGTTTTTGTTTATTCCTCTTCTTACTTCTTATAATCTTTATAATCTCCCTTGCTTCGACATAACGAATTTGCAAAGAGTTGGCTTCAAATTACGAATGGTTGAAATATTATATTCGGTTACCAGATTTATCAGTTATGGCCTAATTTCATCACTAGAATATATATTTTTTTAAATTATTATCTTCCTTATTAACGAACACAACTATACTAGGCAGAGCTTAGTCTCTGATTTTCTCAAGCTCTGTAACAAGTCTTGTCTCCAGAAAAGAGAATTGAATGAAACAAAATTCGTCTGGGTGGAAAAGGAGGGAGGAAGAGGATAAAAAAATGAATAAAAAAGGTAATGGTGTATTAAAGGGAAAGGAAGGATTAAGGAAGAACATCGGAAGGAAGTGACAAGGTGAAAGAAATGTTCCATAAACATTCTTTCGCCTCCAAGAATAGGGAGTGCAGGATCACAGATAGGATTTCGGGTGGAAGGAAACAGGAGATGAAGGAATAAGGATGCATTACACCTCCGGGCGAGGAAGGAGAGGAAACGAATATAAGGGTGAGAGGGGAAAATATATTGAAAAAATACAGTGCAAAATCAAAAGAGAAAACACAATAGGTTTTGTACATATTGATGATTTTCAATTTGTGATGGAGTGACTTGCGAGGAAATTGAAGATTTGTAAGCGAAAACATGAGAAATATTTGATAGAATGATTATACTAATTTTCCGTTTGGAGGGAAAACAAGAATTACAGGAAAAGACAAGGAAGATGATGGGGCGGAAAGGCAAAAGAACAGCAAGAAATATGGAACAAGAAGAAAAAGTAGAATTGGACCTTCGCTTCTTGAACGAGGCTTTGAAAATTGGGGGAAGTGGTGACATGAAAGACGTATAAAAAAGGAAGAAAAAAAGGAATTTCAGCCTACAAGGAAGTGGTGGTATGAAAGACGTATAAAAAAGGGAGGGAAAAAACGAATTTCAGCCTACATGGAAGTGGTGACATGAAAGACGTATAAAAAAGGAAGAAAACAAAGGAATTTCAGCCTACATGGAAGAAGTGGTATGAAAGACGTATAAAAAAGGGAGGGAAAAAAAGGAATTACAGCCTGCACGGAACATAACCTACCTGACATTCTCGCCTGGAAGATAGCCGGGGAAGGGTACGCTCTCTGCTGCGCTCTGTGCCTGCGGGGCCTGCAGGACAACACTCGCAAAGCCAACTAGCAGTACTTCCTTCCACTGGGAGGGGAGACAGGGGGGGAGGGGAAACCAGGTTAAAACAGATTTTTTCTGGATCCGAGAGGCAATACATTTATATCTATCAAGTGTGTGTGTGTGTGTGTGTGTGTGTGTGTGTGTGTGTGTGTGTGTGTGTGTGTGTGTGTGTGTGTGTGTGTGTGTGTGTGTGTGTGTGTGTGTGTGCATCATCGATAGGAAGAGCGAAAAATATACGAAATCATTCTAAAGTCATTCATCGTTTTCATCTTCTAAACATAACTCCTCTTCAGAAATAAGCAATATGACTCCAGACAATGACCTGGTAAAAATAAAAAGTGGAGAAGGCACAAGGTCGCGGCTTTTTAAGTGTGATTTTGAGGCATGAAAGAGAAAAGGGAAACCGAGCAGCAACAACGGTTGATCACGTGACCGGGGGATGAGAAGGTTACTCGAGAGAAAAAAAATATATATTTTTTTTAATCATGGTAAACTGTAAGCTTTTAGATCATCTATTTAGGATTGAATTCCCCAATCATTTGATGAGAGGGATTATCCTAAATGTATAAATAAAGAAGTGACGCGATTATCAAAAATACTAATACAAATTAGGCGGATTCGAGCATAAAATAAAACCCAGGACTCTCCTCGCTCAAACTGATGAATTAGCAGAAGATTTCATCCCAAAGACCTGCCAGCAAGCCTCAGGAAGAACCCAAAGCATGACAAGCAACACAAGCAGTGTCTGGGGAGAGGCAGTCACTCAGCGTGCCTTCGAAGGACGGAGAATCAGCTGACCAATTCTTTCGGAAATCCTTCCTCGTGTATTCGGATGCAGCGTTACGTTACGCCTTCATGCGAACGGTGTACTGCTTGGGCAAGCATGGATATGCGTGTGGTGAGGGGGGTTGGGTAGTATCACTAAGGGAGTAAGTGTGTGTGTGTGTGTGTGTGTGTGTGTGTGTGTGTGTGGTGTGTGTGTGTGTGTGTGTGTGTGTGTGTGTGTGTGTGTGTGTGTGTTTCCTTTGTTTGTTTGGTGTGTGTGTTTAAAT